TTCTGGCTCTATCAATCTGTTTCTTTACTTCTGCAGGTGGGTATTGTAGTTGTAAGAAAGCTTGACAGAGATCTTGTAGGTGTTTGTCTCTGTCTGAGGGGTTGGAGCAAATGCGGTTGTATCGCAGAGCTTGGCTGTAGACGATGGATCGTGTGGTGTGGTCAGGGTGAAAGCTGGAGGCATGCAGGTAGGAATAGCGGTCAGTAGGTTTCCGGTATAGGGTGGTGTTTATGTGGCCATTGTTTATTAGCACTGTAGTGTCCAGGAAGTGGATCTCTTGTGTGGACTGGACCAGGCTGAGGTTGGTGGTGGGATGGAAATTGTTGAAATCATGGTGGAATTCCTCAAGGGCTTCTTTTCCATGGGTCCAGATGATGAAGATGTCATCAATATAGCGCAAGTAGAGTAGGGGCTTTAGGGGACGAGAGCTGAGGAAGCGTTGTTCTAAATCAGCCATAAAAATGTTGGCATACTGTGGGGCCATGCGGGTACCCATAGCAGTGCCGCTGATCTGAAGGTATACATTGTCCCCAAATGTGAAATAGTTATGGGTAAGGACAAAGTCACAAAGTCCTTTTATTTGTTTTAAACCTGCTGCCCATTAATTTCATTTGGTGGCCCCTAGTTATTATATTATGGGAACAAGTAAATAACTTTTCCTTATTCACTTTCTCCACACCACTCATGATTTTATAGACCTCTATCAATCAAAGGAGCTATCCCAGATTGAGTTATCAATAGAGGAAGTTTTGGAACAAATTGATAAATTAAACTATAATAAGTCACCAGCACCAGATGGTATTCACCCAAGAGTTCTGAAGGAACTCAAACATGAAATTACAGAACTACTAACTGTGGTATGTAATCTAGTCCTTAAATCAGCTGCTGTACCAGATGACTGGAAAACAGCTAAATGTGATGCCAATTTTTAAAAAAGGCTCCATAGGTGATCCTGGCAATTACTGGCCAGTAAACCTAACTTCAGGACCAGGCAAATTGGTTGAAATTATAGTAAAGACAATTATCAGACACATAGATGGACATGATTGTTGGTGAAGAGTCAACATGGCTTTTGTAAAGGGAAATCCTGCCTCACCCATCTATTTGAATTCTGTGAGGGGATCAACAAATGTAGACAAGGGTGATCCAGTGGATATAGTGTACTTGGATTTTCAGAAAGCCTTTGACAAGGTCCCTCACCAAATGCTCTTAAGCAAAGTAAGCTGTCATGGGATAAGAGGGAAGGTCCTCTCATGGATCAGTAATTGGTTAGGAAACAAACGGTAGGAATAAATGTTTTCAGTTGAGAGAGATAAATTGAAGGGTCCCCAGGGACCAGTGCTATTCAACATAATTCATAAATGATCTAGAAAAAGGGGTAAACAGTGAGGTGGCAAAGTTTGCAGAGGATACAAAATTATTCAAGATAGTTAAGTTCAAAGCTGACTGTGAGGCATTAAAAATGGATCTTACAAAATTGATTGACTGAGCAACAAAATGGCAGATGAAATTCTATGTGGATAAATGCAAAGAAATGTACATTGGAAGACATTCACAACTATACATATAAAATGATGGGGTCTAAATTAGCTATTACCAGTCAAGAAAGAGATCTTGGAGTCATTGTGGATCGTTCTCTGAAAACATTGGCTCAATGTACAGTGGCAGTCAAAAAAACGAACAGAATGCTAGGAACCACTAGTAAAGGGACAGATAATAAGACAGTAAATATCTTAACGCTACTATGTAAATTCTTGGTATGCCCACACCTTGAGTACTGCTTGCAGTTCTGGTCATCCCATCTCATAAAGATATATTAGGATTGGAAAAGGTAAAGAAAAAGGGCAACAAAATTAATTAAGGGTACGGAACAATTTACATCTGAGGAAAGATTAAGAAGACTGGGACTGTTCAGTTTGGAAAAAAGACAACTAAGGGGGAATATGGTAGAGGTCTATCAAATCATGACTGGTGTGGAGAAAGTGAATAGGGAAGTGGTGTTCACCACGTCATATAATACAAGAACCAGGGGTAACCTGATCAAATTAATAGGCAGCAAGTTTACAACAAATGAAAGGAAGTACTTCTTCACCCAACACACAGTCAACCAGTGGATCATTGCATGGGGATCTTGTAAAGGCCAAAAGTGGCTTCAAAAAAGAATTAGCTAAGTTCATGGAGGATAGATCCATCAATGGTTATTAGCCAAGATGGTCAGGAATGCAATCCCTAGCCTCTGACTGCCAGAAGCTGGGAGTGGACAACCTGGCATGGATCACTCGATAATTGCCCAGTTCTGTTCATTCCCTCTGACGCACCTGGCATTGGCCACTGTCAGAAGACAGGGTACTAGGCTAGATGGACCATTGGTCTGACCCAGTATGGCCGTTCTTATGTGTTGGATGGAAGATAATCTCCCAGTGACCCATTTTAGGAAGCTTGAAGAGTTACTAGAAATAAAAGATGAGCTTGATCTTAGAGCTTGCTATGGAACTGAAATCCCTTACAAGTCCAGTTCCAATTAAGCAAAGATGACGACATCTTGACTATTGCTGTGCTGGTCAGTCCACGAAAACTGGAGAACTGATCACTGGTAACATTGTTATTGAGGAGATAGTCAAACACCACTGCTGCAATTCATCTGAAGCACCAGCACCTAGTCTCATTACCAATCCTTCACAGTTTACAGCGATAATAACCCATTAACCTATGTCTTCACTTCTGCCTGACTGAATGCCAGAGCACACCAGTGGGTTGCAGAATAAGCTGACTAACTTCAAAATCAAATATCATTCAGGGAAATCTAACGTAGAGGCAAATGCTCTATCCAGAACGCCCCCAGGAAAACAATATGATGGGCTGCACAGAAGAAACAACTAATGTCATTAATGCTCATTACAGCCCTTGGATGTACAAAGAGATGGCAAGGTAGCTTGGTTAGCAGCAAGGTAGCTTGGTTATTACTGCCAATTCTTTGGCTGTAGGAGACTTCTCCATGGGCATTAAATCCACCCTCCAGTCTATTCCATAAGAAGACATTTTGGCGGCTCAGAAAGACGACCCAGTGATTGCTAAAATTCTCCATTGTAAGTCCAGAGAGAACAAGAGAACGCAGGAGGATGTGGCAAGGTCTTTGCTTTGAGGTGTGAGTGATATTGGTTGCATTTTGATACTTTATCCGAAACCGAGTTACAAAATCAACTGGTATTACCTGAAAAATACAAAAGGCAGATATAGGGAGAACTGCCTGGAGAGATGGGACACTCAGGAGCAGAGCGGTAATAAGTCTCACAAGAGATGGGTTTTACTGGCCACCGACTAAGGAGGAAATCAAACGTTATAGCACTAGATCTGTACCTATTTTGTTAGCTGACACGTCAGGCCGACATTATATTTATGAGGGGGAAATGTATCACTCACAGGGGAATAATGGTTTGAATTGACCTGTGCCCTGTCTCTCTACGGTCTGGAGCCCTACTGAAGAGAGAAAGAGCAGTCGAGAAGCGAGGGCTGGTCCCAGAGAGGTTGTGGTGTCCCGGGGAAATTGAGCTGGCTTGTGCAGGCTGCCTGGTTTTGGAGTTTGGTTTTTATATTAAGTTTAATAAAACATCAGTTTTAAAACCATTACAGTGTAATTGTTACAGTGTACAGAGAAAACAGCAGGTACTAAATGGCTCTTTAATGCAGCAGAGAAAGGCAGAACAAGAGACAATGGCTAAACGCTGAAGCCCGACAAATTCAAATTAAGATCCAAACTTTTAACAGTGCAGGTGATTTACCATTGCTACAAACTCCCCAGGGAAGGGGAGGATTCTCGGTCTCTTGCTGTCTTCTCATCCAGATTGGCGCCTTCTGGAAGATGCTTTAGCCAAACACCAGTTCTTGGTCTCCATACAGGGGTAAATGGGTGACAGATAATGGCCTGTGCCATGCAGGAGGCCAGGCTAAATGATTTAATGATGCCGTCGTCTGCCCTTAACACCTGTGACTCACTGTGGTGAGCACAATGAGAACCTCCATTCACATGTGGTCAGAAAAGCATGAAGAGTGCTGTAAAACAATACTGCGATCATGCTGCCATTCTCAGCAGCACCCCTGCCCACTGCGCCTAGTTCTGGTCACCCCATCTCCAGAAGGAGACAGCTGACATGGAGGAGGTGCTCAGATGCATGACAAGAATCTTGTTCCATCCTCTGAGGCCGCTGGCTCTGGCCACTGCTAGAGACAGCATACTGGACTAGATGGGCTGGGAGTCTGGTCTGGGGGCGCAATCCCAGTGCTGCTGTTTTGATCATGTTTTATATTAACTAGCTTTTGGACTTTTCAACTCATCACATTGTTGATTTTTGGCATACGGAGGCTCCCATACATCCCATGCTAGGTCTGTGTCATGTAGCAAATACTCGTCGATTGCAAACATGTATCAAGAGCTTCACCACCACATTTACCAGTATTTCTGCAAAAAGGAAAGGAAGGCGAGGCACATCTGCAGCGCCTGTGAGCCAGGTCCAGCACCATGGAATGACGGTGGCGCATGGACTGAAAGTCAAAGGGGGATGGAGAATGGATGTCCAGCAGGGCAGAAAGGGAGTGATGAGGGAACATGCTTGGACCAACTCATCAATAACTTTAAGCCCTGGGATACTGTGACGTTCCCCTCTGGTGTTATCTGGAATGGTGATCTGCTAGGTCACTCCAATCCTTGACTCTGGGAGCCAGCCTTACCTTGCTCTTCTGGGAGAACCCCCACTCCTAGGCTGGTCACGCGCAGCCTCTGGCATGTAAGCTGCTCCCAGCTACTTGCAAGCGAATGACACTAGCCAAAATCTCCGGTCCCAGACACAACCCTAGGAACCTCCATCTTGCAGTGTCCAGTTATGCCTGCTGGATGCTGCCAGCTTACATGAGTTCATCAATTTAACAAAGAAATTGATATGTACCAGGCTTGTTATCCCAAGGGGAGACTCTGACATACTTCAAACCAAATGCACTGCTTCAGGTAGAATAAACAAAACAGATTTATTAACTACAAAGATGGACTTATAATCACTTAAAATCTAAGCACAAGAAGTCAGATTTGGTCAAATGAAACAAAGCAAAATGTATTCTATGCTGATCTTAACAGTTTCAGCGCCCTTACAAACTTAGATGCTTCTCACCACAAGCTGGCTGGTTGCCCTTCAGCTAGGCTCTCCCCTTTGATCAGTGCTTCAGTCGCTGGGTGGTGATGTCTGTAGATGGAGGTGGAAGAGAGAGGAAGAGCATGGCAAACATCTCTCCCTTTTATCATGTTCTTTCTTCCCTCTTGGCTTTACCCCACCCTCTTCAGAGTTAGGTGAGCATTATCTCATCGCAGTCCCAAACTGACCAAAGGAAGGGGGGTGCCTCACTCGAACAGATCCTTTTGTTGCTGCCTACCGGCAGCGACATTTGTTCCTGTGAGGCTGGGCTGGGTTTGTCCCATACATGCCCTGATGAGGTGTGAACTGCCTCTCTGCTCTTGGAGAGCTTTTGCCTGGGCTTATTTTAAGCCACGAGGATACATTTTCAGCCTCATAACTAGATACAGTAATGTTATAGTTTATAATTTCATGTAACAACAACGCTCAGTGCATCGTGAGCCTTCCAAGGACACCCAACATGACAAACTTTGCATTGGATATCAGACAATCATTTTATAAGGATGAACATGGGGGTGTAGAGTGTTCCCATGAGGTACAGAACGTCACAGATGCTGCACATATTGGGGTACATGAGCCAGCTGCTTCCCACGCTCCTGGGCTTCACTTCCTTCCCCCATCATCTCTTTCCTTACATAGCTCACTTTCTAATCCCTGACTTTGGTTCCCTCTTTGTCTCTCTTGCTGCCCTTCCCACCCTGCTTCTGTTGTTAGGGAGAGGCTCAGCTCGCCATGGTTACAGTTGCGATGAACTTGCCAATCTGAGCCTGTTTTCCCGGTGCCCGCACTTCACACACAGCTCCTGCTCAGTCCCTGCCCCAAAAGCTTGCAATCTAATTGAAGACAAGGTGCAATGAGGTGTGTTGCAAATATCCCTTCTTTCCCCCAAATCACCCCCCCACACTCACTGCTGCAGTCTCACCCTCCCCCACCTGCACACACACACCCCCACTCCTCACCAAATCACTCTCCCCACCCGGGCACACCCGCACGCACTCCTGCTTCCCTGGCACAATCCTCCCCACATCTCGCTGGTGCCTTCCTGCTCTCACCCCACAGCCACAGGCCTGGCAGGACCCTTCCTGCTTTCCCAAGTCTGCGCCGCCCTGCTTGCTCTGCGGTTTGGGTGACTTGGGTGTGGCTGGCCCATAAGGGCTTGGCAGCTGGAAGGCAGCCAACTCCAGGCACCTCCAACGTGGGGATTGTAAAAGACTCCAGGACTATGAGGGCTTGGAAGGTCCTAGCTCAGGCCAGCTAGGCCCCGGCTGATCTGGGCTGTTGGATTCCCAGATTTTCAGCCTCCTCACAAAGGGTGGAAGATGCACAATCTGTAACTGTACATGACAAGTTCCTGAAACGAGGATGTAGAGTGAGCTACAGAGCGTTTCCCAGCATGTGACCGAATGTGAAGAAGTTCCTGCTCTGGCTGGAGTGTATCGGGACATAGAGGGTTAGCTGTGGGTTGCTATAGTCAGCGTAACTAGGGCACAAGGCAGGTGTCCCAGGGAAGCACTAGGGTTGCCAGCCCTGCAAGCCTTCCCGTTAAGACAGGAGGAGGAAGCTGCGGGACTGTGCCGAGGATTTCCGCATTCTGCCCCAGTGCCGAGGCTTCCAGAGACACCAGCCAGGCTCAGCAGCCCTACTCTACTGCCTGCTCTGGGCAAGCGGGAACAAACAGAGCTGAAACCCAGCCCCACGAACAGCCCCAACTGAGATCCCTGCAAGAGGAGTCCCTGCCTGGGCTAAATGCACCCTGGGGCAGCACCCACACCCATGAAAAGCCAATGGCCACAAGCCATTGATTCCTCACCAAAGAGTGCGGAGAAGGTCAAAGCCAAGCAGCAGAGTGAAGGGCTGGGGAGCCGGGTCCTGGCCATGTCGCCTTTCTGCTCAGAGCTGAAATGGTCCAGTGAGCATGACAGCTCTTTATCTTAGACCTCAGCTAAAGCAAACAAGTGGTGTGAAGCTCTGACTCACGCAAGAGGCGGCCACCGCTAATCGCACGCTGTGCCACACTGACCACGCTCTTGAGGGCCCGCCTCAGCAACGCCTTCAGCTCCCCGACTGCCCCGTGGCACAGCCCAGGGACCCCTCGGCACTGACAGGGGGTTTCTGGGGAAGGGGCAGTGCGCGTGTGGAGGGAAGGGGGAAGCAGGAGTCCCAGAGGAAGGCCTTGGCTCGAAGGACGGGACCCCTTCTTCCCATACAGCATCGAGGGCCCAAGGGAGAATGGCCATTGGAAGACTGGGGTCGTTCTGAAAAGGGAAAGCTGGTTCCTACAGCCAGGAAAGAACTGTGCTGGGCTGGTTAATAATTAACAGTGCTCCAAAAACCGTGCCTGCCGCTTCCACCCAAACCCCACCAGCGCAAACAGCGCTGCCCAGATAAGCCAGGAAACGGAGGGCTGGGAACAGAGTTACTAAATAATACATGCTCGGCTGGGTGGTAACGTGCAGCTTTCCAGACAGAGCTCGGCTCCTGCTCAGCGGCGTGCAGAGGAGCGGGGGTGACCTCCAAGGGACTGGTCCGGCCCGCAAGCAGCTGAATGATCCTGAGTGGGATCCCTGGGTGCTTCCGGGCCTGGCCTGGCTCCTTCTCAGGCTCAGGTTGACCATCCCCGGCTTCGACTCTCCAGGTTCTGTGGCTTCCATAATTTGGTTCAAGCTGGTCCTCCTTTCCTGCCAGCCCCTTATCTCTGAACTTTTTTTTCTTTGATTCAGACAACACTGGTTTGGGGATGAAGCAGGATAGACTGCAGTTCATGTGCCTTGGGCATCTGACCTGGCGGGGGGAGCAGTGTTGTTAACGTGGGCGATGCTGGCAGCTACTAGCGCAAAGTTTGCATACAGCTTTGTTTGCCTACAAAGAGAGCCAGCGAGAGGAGGTGGCAAAGATCCTGAGCGCTTCCTGTTTACCGCTTGCCCCGCCTCCCAGAATCACAGCTAGCTCGGCCCTATTTTAAATACAAAACCAGGAACACTTTTAATGATCACTTATGAAAAATATTACATTTTGAAATTGTACAGAAAAATAATCGTTCAGTGCCTCCCCATCGCACCCAACAGAAGGGTCTGATGGACATCTAGAAACAGCCAGCATGAGATGGATTAGAGGGTCCAGGCTGGAAGAGTGGTTAGTATCTACAGGAATAAATTATGTTATCAAAAAATAAAGCAAATACACAAGATTTAAGAAGTCCATTGAATAAATCAAAATAATAATTGCACAGTATGATTTCAAATGCTGAAGGCGTCCTTAGAAATCAGTCGTTAGGATATTAGGCTATAAGGTTATTCTAGAGTGTTACACGCAGGTTAATAGCACATGCTCACAACCATCTCCTGAAGGGAAGCCGCAGAGGCCCCGTTACCCAGGGCAGGGCCGGGCCTCGGGTTCAGGAGCCTGGGGGATCTTTACAAAGTGCAGCTCCACTGAGAGTCCCAGCGGAGGAGAACAGACCCCAGGGGAGACTCCGGCCTGCCTCCCAACACCAGGAACAGGCGGCTCTGGAGGACTCAGAGAGCAGGCGATGGGATGGGGCGGGATCCCTTGGCCTAGGCAGAACAAGTCTATGGTGTCAGTCCGGGCAAGCAGAGCCCGACACCTACCAGCCACCAGGCTGCAGCTACAAGCCCGGGGAGACCCAGAATGAGGGCAGATCTTCACAGCAAGACTGGAGGGCAAAGCCCTTGAGTCCACACAGCCCTCCCTCAAGGACCTGCGCCTCCACCGGCTGGTGACAGGGAAGGGACTCTCTCCCCCCCCCTGACCCCATAGCTCTCGGGGACTCTCCACTAGGTCACCTCTCCCCCAGCAACTCGCTTCAGCCCCATGGCTGCTGCTCCAAGCAAGGCGCAGGCCGATCGCCACTCTCTGTGCCCCTCATGGATGCCATTCGCCAGCCACGGGTAAACTCCCTCCAAGCACTACCAAAGTGGCACCATGTGGGGTCGCACGCGGGAGGTCCCTGTCCAGCCAAAAGGGCAGAAGAAGAAGCTTAAATCCCACAGACACCATTGGCCACGCAGTCCCATCTCCCCCCAGCTAGCAAGTGGATCTTTCAAGCCCTGTGGTTATGGCTCCCTCAGGCTGGAAATAACCCAGCCTATACTGGGGTCAGCTCAGCCTTGCCCTGCCCTGCGCCAGCCCGAGGGAAGGGCAGCTCTATGTCTACAGGTTCCAGTTCTACCTGACGCTGAAATCCCTGGGATGGGTTCAGACCGTCTGATCTCAGCAGGGCTTTTCCTACAACAGTGGTTTTCAACCTGCGGTCCGCGGCCCCCTGGGGGCCCACAGACTATCGCGAAAGGTGATGATGAAAACAAGGTTCCGGACCCCAGAAAAGGCATTCTGTTTTTCTGACCAACCAAAAGTATGTGAATACCCACACCTACAGGTCAAACCCCGGACGTGCTGTTGTTACCACGCAAGACCAGGGCCTTTTGCAGTCTAAGACTTCTATGGGAGGAGTCTGTGGACATAGGTGCTGGAGCTACGGGGGTGAGGGGGGATGCCGCACCCCCTGGCTTGAAGTGGTTTCCATCATTTACAGGGCTACACTGGCTCTCAGCCCCCCGCACTGTACAAATTGTTCCAACATCTATATCCGCAGAACACCGTTTGAATTTCCAAAGGGGCCTGCGCCTCCATCCAAAATTTGTTCAGGGTCGGCAGCTGAAAAAAGGTTGAAAACCCCTGTCCTACAAGAAGCGGCAGGGGCTGAAGTCCACGGCAGGAACTAGCAACACCAAAAGCAGCGGCATTCCTTCAACAAACAGTCTGCTGGCCAGCAGCCTCCCCACACGGAGGGGACCCGGGCTGGCTCCTAGCTCTCGGGGGAGTGGGCCGGGGCCGGAAGGCGTTTGGAAGGATAACCCCGGGAGCTGGCAGGGTGAGTATCTGAGGAAGCCTGTCCCTAGGAAGCTCCCGCAGTCTGTGCGTGATGCCGTGCGCACAGCTCCCCCTCACATGCTCAGCCCTGATGCCCAGGAGCTTGGAGGTGGCTTGGTCGCTATGTTTCCAGTCTGCTTTGCTTGGGATTAATAGCCATTTCCCCAGCCACTCCAGCAAACAGAGGGCACCCAAGCTGCTGGACGCTTACACCAGGGACCCTGCTTGGCTCTGGGCAGGTACCATGACGGGCACCGCACCCATTCTGGTAAGGGTAGAGGTGGTCAGCCCTTGAGGGACAGTGGGCTCCTGCCGGGGGGCCTGCGGCTGTGCCCCATTCGTCCTGTGCAGAGTGTTCCTATTGCTTGGCACAGTGCTGGGGTAATGGCTGCCGTTCATTCCTGGTGGGAAATAGAGGGGCAGGCTCTGGCTGGACAAGCTGGGAGTGGGCGTTAGGGTTCTGCTCCTCGGGTGGCTACAGGGAGGTTTGTAGCCCACTGTGCTGCCGGCGGCGGTGGTGATGGAGGCTGTGTCTGAAGCGGGCTTGGACGGGTACAGTTTGTGGTCCCGGGTCGTGTGCACGGACGACAAGGTACCATTTTTGGAGACAATGTCAGAACCGGAACTTTTAGCCCAAGAAGGGGTCTTTGGAGCAACAGCATCTTCCCTGAAAAGGAAAGCAGAGATGGAGTCAGTGCCAGGAGCCAGCGACGGCGGGCAGGGTCTCTGTGTTGTCACACTCCCTGCTGGCCTCACTCCTAGTCATGGAAGGAGCCGAGCATTACTGGAAACTCGACCTGAGACTTAAAGTACCAACATGCCTCCCAGAAAATGCTCCAATTGGGCCATTCCACCAAGGGGGGACGTATAAGCAGATGACAAATGACTGGCAAGCATTGGGTCCAGTGATCCTGAGCACAGGCTGCCTGTAGACTGGACTGCTGGGGGTTTGGACTCTGAATATTTGGTTCTGATAACAAATTACATTAAAAACATCAAAGGGACATTCAAATTGCAAAGTCAAAGCACTCAAAGTTGGGAAATGTTCGACTGAAAGCTGCCCGTGCAACCTAAAAGTTAACCTTGAGATCCATGGCACAGACCTCTACCACCCCGGCTCACAGAGCAATCGGTAGCAGTAGTTGGCTGTTATCCTCCATAGAGCAAGCACCAGAGTGTGATGAAAGAGACTTTGCCAGCAGGTTTCCCAGCTATTTTCTGGCAGCAGAGGAACGTAGAGACTCAGGACTCGTGGGTTCAATTCTAAGCTCTGGAGGGAGTGTTCCCTAGTGGTTATAGACCCAGCTACCCCCCACCCTGTCTTTCCCCCTGTCCCACTGTTGCCCCGCATTGTCTCCTGAATCCCTCTGCTTCCTCCGCACTCTGGGCTCTTGCCCCTCTTTTCCTCATGGCTCCTCCAACCTTCCTCTCCCCATATCCTGCCCCTGCCTCCTCCCAGCATTCCAATCAAGCTGGTTCCTCCCTTTCCTTCTTGGTGCCTGGGTGCCAGTGAGGGAGGATGGGACTGATTGCACAGGGAGACAGGCAGTCTGCTCTCTGCTCCTGTGCCCAGACTGCTGCAGGCCCTGGCAGCAAGAAGGAGCAATTGCAAAGAAAACCTTGCTCAGCCCCCGCAGCCCCAGGATGGAACATGCGAGTCACACTGTGCACATAGGACGGTGCATGTGAAATGTGCTCACACGTGGGAACTGTGAGGGGATGGCTCCCCCCCTGCAGGCTCCTCCCCTCCTGGGGCCAAGTCTCCCTTCCAAGGATCTAGGTCACTTCAAGCACCAATGCTCAGTGCAGATGGAATCTTCAGTGACATTAGCTGGTAAACTAAGAACTTGACTCAGCATTGTGTGAATTGAGATTTTTCACAGGCTCCTCAGTTGGCCAAGTTTGGGTAAATGTTCATAGGAATAGCAAAAGGCACGTCCGTGACCCCTAAGCCACATTTCAGACCCCTGCGCCAAAGCATGGAGGCACAGGAGCTTTTCAACTGAAAGGTTGTATGAATTTCTTTTAACATGGCCAAAACAATGTATTTTCCCCAAATCTCATTCTCAGAAATGGCTGAATTATTTTGGTTGGAACACACTTCAGTCTGAGGCAAACACCTGTCCTGGGAAAATTTCAGCCCACATGATATAAGTTTCCCATAGTTACATGCAACTGAAAACAGGGTCTTATAATGGAAAGTGTCAGGTAACCTTAACTACAGGCAGTGCTACTCGCGGTATTCATAGATTCCAAGGCCAGAAGGGACCTTTGTGATCATCTAGTCTGACCTCCTGGATAGCACCGGCCAGATAATTTCTAGAGCAGAGTTCATAGAGAAACATCCCATCTTGATTTAAACATTGTCAGTGATGAAGACTCCACCACGACCCTTAGTAAATTGTTCCAATGATTAATTACCCTCATGGTTAAAAATTTACACTTCATTTCCAATCTGAAATTTGTCTAGCTTCTTTGCTAGACAGAAGAGCCCGTTATTAAATATTCGTTCCCTTTGTAGGTACTTATAGACTGTAATCATGTCACCCCTTAATCATCTTTGTTAGGCTAAATAGATTGAGCTCCTGGAGTCTATCACTATAAGGCATCCTTTAATCATTCTTTTGGCTCTTCTCTGAGCCCTCTCCAATGTATCAACATCTTTCTTGACCTGTGGACACCAGAATTGGACACAGGATTCAAAAATAAATAAATCTGGGTTTTAAAAAAAATTGTCGTCTGTTTAACCTTTAGGTGTCTGTTTTCAAGCTTTTCTCCTCACTCCAGAGGGCTAGAAACGTTTTTTACATGAAAGCTGAGAGTCTCACAATAACTGCATGACTCTGGGAGCTGGGACTTTATTACAAACACCAAATAGCACAAGGCTCCTGAGAGTTGGCAACTCTATAACAGCATCCCCAGCCTCAAAGCAAATGGTGGTTTTGTGCCCGTGATGCCTTTCCGGCAGTTAACACTCATCTTCCCTTCCAGCAGGCGGGTCTGCGCATGCAGCTCTGTGACCCGCTGTCAAGGGGCCACGGAGGGACTATGTTTGGGACGTTTCACATGGGCTTTGCCAAGCAATGCGGGGATTCTCACTTGATCTCGTTGGCCATTTCCTCCTGCGGGTCTTTCTTTTTCTTTCGATAGACGAACATTTGGAGAACAAACAAGATAATTAAGCCGACTCCAATGAGAGACCCCACCACGGCTCCAGCAATCACGGCTGCACTGACCGCTACAGAGAACCAGAGAGAGAGAGAGAGCGCGTAGAGAGAGGAACGCCAGGGCCAGAGCAATGCAGCACCCAAGCCAGCGTGAGAGGGGCCAGCCTGGCTGGCTGCTGCACAGCAAAGCTGGGCTTCTCCCACTTGTCTCGAAATGGGGCAAGGGGAAGTGGTGGGAACAGCCCATTGCTTCAGGAGTGGGGCCATCCCACAGTACAGAAGTCCCCTTCTTTGATGTCCTCCAGGATCCTACTGGCCTTTGCTGCCATCTGAGCAGGGTGTGCTAGTGGAAACACTCAGCCAGTGTTCATTAAAGTTACGATTTGGTCACGGATTCCGTGACTTTACCGGACCTCTGTGACTTCTACGCTTCAGGAGGAGGAGGCGGGACTGTGCGCCCCTGCCCTGCAACTGGGGCTGGCTGGAACCAGGACCCTGCAGCCCCAGCCCCGCGGCTTCCGCCAGTGGCTGCAGCCGGGCCGTGCGCTCCAGCCCTGCAGTGTCCCAGGCTTGGCGGGACTGCAGCTAGGACCATGCGCCCCAGCCCTGCGGCTTTCACCAGGGAATGCAGCGTGTGGCTTCCAAGGGCCATTGCCTCCCCGCCCCCGCGGCCGTGCACCCCTGTCCCGCAGCTGGGCCAGCTCTGCCCACCGCTGCAGCCACTGAAGTCAAGGCTATGCCGGGCTCGGCCTGTCAGTCCCCCCCTCCATGGGGCTCCATTCCTCCCCCCTATCGAGCCCTGCCCCCGGTTATTTGTAGTAAAGTAAAGGACAAGTCATGGCCTCCGTGAATTTTTATTACCCATGACCTGTTTGTGATTTTTACTAAAAATAACCGTGAAAAAGATCTTAGCCTTATTAATAATTCCCCAATCTTGTGCATGGTTCACACACTCCAGGTCTGCAGCAACATCTCCCAGGTCACAAGTACATCACATCCCTTTTGAGCAGGCTGGCATCCCTCAGCCGTTCCCAGGCTCCTCCCCTCCTGGAGCTAACTCTCCCTTCCAAGGATCTAGGTCACTTCAAGCATTAATGGCAGGTCTAATGGCCACGTCTCCTCCCCACCGAGGCTCCAGGAGTGCAGAGCCTGTGCTCAGGGAGCATACTCACGTGAATTCACCTCCAGGGTGACGTTGCACTTGGAGCTGCCGGCCACATTTGCTGCCGTACAGACGTACATCCCAGACATCTCCTTGGAGAGATTGGTTAGCATCAGGGTCCCTCTTGTGAGGTCTGCAAAATTCAGAAGAAAGAACAAGAGATCCAGAGAGTCTAAATCACTGCTCAATGACATTTCATCCCACCTGCCAATGGCGTCCAAGGGGCGCAGATGTATTAAAGCTATCAGCTGGGAGGCCGGCATCTCTAAGGGGGCAGAGTTAAGGTTGTGATCATAGAATCATAGACTATCAGGGTTGGAAGGGACCTCAGGAGGTCATCTAGTCCAACCCCTGCTCAAAGCAGGACCAATCCTCAACTAAATCATCCCAGCCAGGGCTTTGTCAAGCCTGACCTTAAAAACCTCTAAGGAAGGAGATTCCACCACCTCCCTAGGTAACGCATTCCAGTGCTTCACCACCCTCCTCGTGAAAAAGTTTTTCCTTATATCCAACCTAAACCTCTCCCACTGCAACTTGAGACCATTACTCCTTGTTCTGTCATCTGCTACCACTGAGAACAGTCTAGATCCATCCTCTTTGGAACCCCCCTTCAGGTAGTTGAAAGCAGCTATCAAATCCCCCTCACTCTTCTCTTCTGCAGAGTAAACAATCCCAGTTCCCTCAGCCTCTCCTCATAAGTCATGTGCCCCAGCCCCCTAATCATTTTTGTTGCCCTCCGCTGGACGCTTTCCAATTTTTCCACATCTTTCTTGTGGTGTGGGGCCCAAAACCGGACACAGTACTCCAGATGAGGCCTCACCAATGTCGAATAGAGGGGAACGATCATGTCCCTCGATCTGCTGGCAATGCCCCTACTTATACACTCCAAAATGCCATTGGCCTTCTTGGCAACAAGAGCACACTGCTGACTCATATCCAGCTTCTTGTCCACTGTAACACCTAGGTCCTTTTCTGCAGAACTGCTGCCGAGCCATTCGGTCCCTGGTCTGTAGCGGTGCATTGGATTCTTTCTTCCTAAGTGCAGGACTCTGCACTTGTCCTTGTTGAACCTCATCAGATTTCTTTTGGCCCAATCCTCTAAGTTGTCTGGGTCCCTCTGTATCCTATCCCTACCCTCCAGCGTATCTACCATTCCTCCCAGTTTAGTATCATCCGCAAACTTGCAGAGGGTGCAATCCACTCCATCCTCCAGATCATTTATGAAGATATTGAACAAAACCGGCCCCAGGACCGACCCTTGGGGCACTCCACTTGACACCGGCTGCCAACTAGACATGGAGCCATTGATCACTCCCCGTTGAGCCGACGATCCAGCCCCTGATCTAGTGATGTGGTGTGCAGTAGCTGTGGCGGGGCATGCGTGTGGGTGAAGGAGGAAAGGGGATGGACTGTTCAGTGGCTTAACATTACAGTGCTTTGCTTTTGTGGGTCTGTGACAGGTATGGGGCATCTTTCGCTGCTTCACACTGAAGCGGTGTGTGTAAATGTACTATATCGGAGCTTAGCCATTTTCATAAAGCGTCATTATTGAACAGTGCAATCAAATAAACGCCCCATTTGCCCAGCACTCTGGTTCACGGACCAAAACAACCCCCGTTTATTAGGGCAGCGCACAATAGTTAAAGCTAAATACCTCTTCCCCTGCTTTGAGAGCCCAGCTCCTAACAGAGCAGAGAGGACCACGCTGCTGCATCGCAAAGGAGTGCTTTGGCAACAAGGTGCTGTTTGAAGGTTCATCCCAGGGCTGTTGCATCTCTGATGACTGCAGTATTCCCTGACCCGGAGCTCAGGGCATGAGAAAGAGGCCACCTGTACCACAGCGAGAGGTGTAGGTGCTTCTATGTGAACTGAGGCTCGTGGGGACGGAGCTTGTGGCAGGAAATGTTAGAAATTTAATCCCCCTTCGAAAGGGCAGAGTGCGCGCTGTGGCCCTTCCTGGTGCAGAAGGGGTGTTTAGCCACTTTATCCACAGGTGCAGGAGCTTGCAGCCCTGCTAGCAGACCAGTGAAAGCGTCCAGCGTCCCACACCGCTGGGTTTCTTTTAAGAGAGATGTTCTCTAAACCATGCAGACACTGCGGGACAGGGCGGGGGGGTGGGTGGGATGTTTTCCACGAATCCTGCCCATTGCCAGCTTGGCCTAAGAGGAGACAGCGCTTGCAGAGCCCGTGTCGCCTTTCCGTCCCTGCGGCGGCACCCAAAGCGGCACCCGCGTTTCCGACAGAGCCCGTCTGACACGCTACGTATCGGTGTAAGCCTCGGGGCAGCCTCGGAACCCTGCACCGGGGACCACAGGCTCGGGGGGGCTGGGGGGGTTGGCCCTCCCCAGAGCTTTGGAAAGGAGCTGCAAGATGGCAGCGATCGTCTGCCGCTGGAAACAGGCCACAGCAGCAAGTGCCAGCCTGGCGGACAGCCATTCACACAGAACAAACCTTCCAGCATGTGGCTGCACCCAGGGCACTCCTCAGCTTCCCATCTGCTCCAGTACAGAGCATGATCGGGAGAGGCAACATCCCCAGTCAGTAACCAGAGCCAGCTGCCAAGGCAAGACCCTCCCTGCCAGCATCAAGGGAGACCGAACCAGGGCCCTTCGCTCTACAGTTTGCTTCCTCTGTCTGACACAGCCCAAGCCTGTTGGCCTTTAGCACTTGCAATCAAGCCTATTTATTCTGCCAGGCTTTTTGGGGGAAGACGGGAGGGGCAGAAAGGAGGTATCAGTCTGGGGTGGGGAGTAATACCCCGTGGCATAGTGATTTCTCAGGGGGTGAATTACTCGATTAACGGAAAGGCACACTAATACATTTCTGTTGGCCTCCTTAGGTTTGCTTTGTATTAAGTTTATTGTACACATCTGGCAGCTGCAGGGTTTATTTAGATTTCTGCGTGTGCCTTAAGCTGCAGACCGCGGTAGCCAGATGGGTTTGGCACCACGGTTAAACTCAGACTCTAGCCAGGGCCACGAGATCGGAGCCCCATCAGCAGCCTCCAGCTGTCCAGGTCTCGCCACGTCCACACCGCAATTAAAGGACGGAGACGCACCGGAGCTAGCTTTGATCTCGCTAGCTAGGGAAGCATAAAGCACAGGTGGCCATGCGGGCTCTCCAAGCCCTCCCGAGACCTGGGTATGTACTCGAGCGGCTAGCCCATGCTGCCGCAGTCACACTGGATCAAAGCTAGACTGGGGCCATCTACGCTGACTGCAGTGAAGACAGGCTCCTAAGGTCTCTCTGGCTAATCTCAGTGCCGTGCGGAGTTGTGCAGTCAGAAACCTAGGGGAGTCTGAGCAGCGCCAACCGTCCTGGGGCCCACAAAGGCAGACCGTCAGAAACCTAGGGGAGTCTGAGCAGCGCCAACCGTCCTGGGGCCCACAAAGGCAGACCGTCAGAAACCTAGGGGAGTCTGAGCAGCGCCAACCGTCCTGGGGCCCACAAAGGCAGACCGTCAGAAACCTAGGGGAGTCTGAGCAGCGCCAACCGTCCTGGGGCCCACAAAGGCAGACCGTCAGAAACCTAGGGGAGTCTGAGCAGCGCCAACCATCCTGGGGCCCACAAAGGCAGACCGTCAGAAACCTAGGGGAGTCTGAGCAGCGCCAACCGTCCTGGGGCCCACAAAGGCAGACCGTCAGAAACCTAGGGGAGTCTGAGCAGCGCCAACCGTCCTGGGGCCCACAAAGGCAGACCGTGCCGCACTCCCCCACGTCGAAACCTCAGGGAGCAGCAAAGGCCCGGCTTGTGGTGACTAGCCCGAGGCACAAAGGCCGCGCCGTGGGACACCCCCCTCGCTTTACACTGCACTCAGCACGTTATTAAGCTACGCTGACGCCAGCGACACTGTTTCCATAGGAACTGATGTATTTCAAAGAGGAGAAGAGGAAGGGGTCTGAGTGGGAGGGGGGACAAGAAAGGACCCACATAAAACCAGCTGCACAATCACCACAGGCGATGCTGGCAGCGAGAGACTACACCCGCGTCCCCGCCTCACACCTGTGCTGGCTCTGCCGACTGTAGGGGCTACGGGACACAGGGCCCGAAGGGTGCGGCTACAACGCAAATTCAGATGTGACTGTCACGTGGTCGGCACACCCGTGTCCGCGTGAATCTAGCGAGCGCAAGTAACCAGAGCGGAGTGGACCCTGCACCAGGCTAGCGACCCGAGCAGATCCACAGAGGGGGTTTATATGGGGGCAGATAGCCCACGCTGAAGCCTGTGCCATCGAACCAGCACTACCCGTGGTTATTCGAGCTAGATTACAGCTGGCACGGCTATGCCAACCCACGCGACGATCACAAGCCCCTGCGCAGGGCAGATGGACCTGGAGTGACTTGAAAATTTCACACCTTCCCCACCCCCCTGGCAATAGCCCCTCCCCTCATCACACTTCGCCAGTTAAAAAGCTGTGCCCGTGTCTCCTCTGTTCGTACAGCACCTAGCGCCACAGGCTCTGATCCTAACGGAGGCCCCGAGGACTGCGGTAATAATGAATAAGGCTAGTGATGCTGTGGTGACGGGGTGCAGACCCTGATGGGAAGCAGGATACGTTTTCTGGCTGACGACCTGCTGGATGAGTTACCCAGGGCTGTACCTAATCACCCACGAGTCTCTGGGAGCCATCCGAGCCGTTCAGCTGTTTTCCCCAAGAGGCTAGGAATAGAGGAAACATTCCGCAGCCGGGCCTTGGAGTCAGGAGCCCAGTTCATCCCAGGCACAATCCCACCGACTCCAGGGGAGTTATGCTAGCGATGCATTTGGCTCCAGATGTTCGTTCCCTCTGCACCAACCTGGTAGCCTGATGGTTTGTGCTAAGCATTGGCACTTGTAACGCCCCTGCAAAGCAGTCTGTGTCGTCTGTCCGGCCCACTGAGCCTCCACTGCTGTTTGCAGACATGTGAGGAGGGGAAGATCCCGACAAGCAACCCACCCTCTTAGCATGGCGTAGAGCCCAGCCGGGGGCAGGCACAAGAGATGGCAAGTGGCAGCGAATATTGAAGCTCAGGGAAGTGTCCTAGGACAGGCCCCATCTACAGGGTTATTGCCTGGAGGGCTGAGATGCTACAAGTCAGGAGGTAGTAAAGGAAAAGGAAAGCCAAGAAACAGCTAACGTGCCGTGGCTGTAAAGCGGGACACTAGTAAAAATAAACAGAGCAGGTTTTAGGGAGCCAGGGCTCCATGTGAAGCAGCAATGAAGGAACGAGTGTATTTCAAGACGGCTGTGAAATGTCAGAAGTTCTGTTGTCAACTGGAATGACACTCATCCCGGAGGTCAGCCAAAGCGCTCCCAACCCTCTCTTCCATGGTAACAAGAGAAGCATAATTAGTGTCACTTTGGCCAAGCGGTTAGTGTAAGGCTGATGGTGGGGGGACAGCCAGAGACAATGAGCCCGCACTGACGCTTGCGTGGGGTTGTGACGAATTATGTTATCTGCCAGAATTGTTACTGTGCTAAAAACTAAGTAGAGACACAAGGTGGGTGGGGTCATTTTTTTACTGGACCAACTTCTGTTGGTGAGAGACACACTTGGTCCAAGAAAAGCTATGACCTCACCCACCTGGTCTCTGTAATATCCTGGGACTGACACACCTACAACCACCATGTAGGGCAGTGACTCTTCAAGAACCTGGCTGGGAGTCAGGCCTCCTGGGGTCCATTCACAGCTTTGCCATCTACTGTGAGACTCTGGGGTGTCCTTTCACCTCTCGGAGGTTCAGCAACTTCCCTATGAAAAGGGGAGAATCCCTGCCCCACTTCACAGAGGTATTAGCTTAACGGCTATGGAAATGCTTGGAGATCCTTCGGTGTAACGAGCTATTGAGTGCACGTTGTATTCTCCTCCCAGGCTGACTCAGGAGTCACACCCGTACCTGTACGTTTCCATGAGCATATTAAAATAATTTGTTAGAGAGGCCCAAGCTAAACCCCCAATCCAACAACCCCAAACCTTTCCTAGCGGGGGTTGGGAATACTAAACATCCAAGGCTGACTCTGATCTCTGCTCTAGAGCCAATCAAGAACGGAGATCAGAGAAAGGCAGAGAAGTCCAGGAAGCCGCTGCATGCGGAGAACCAAGCATGGCAACGGTATGCAACCGCCTGACAAGTGACCAAGGATGTGCTGCACGCCAGGTGGGTGAGCGCGCGCCACCAGGGGAGGGCACGTTGCTGTGAGAACCTGCCCTTTTACATTTCCTGACTTCTTCCCTTTATAAAACAGTCATCCAGTATTTAATTAAACACAAGAGCTGACATCAGGAGCAGGGGGGGACAATGCGAATTAGAAGGAACGACAATGACTAATAGAACTCCACTCCCGAAGAGGTCCAGCTTGTGTAAATCCCCAGGCAGTGGAAGAGGAATGCCTGCTATGCTATGCTGTGTGCTTGACAGAAATCTAACTAGTTCAAATGCTAAATTCACTCATCTGACGTCTCTTCCCCCCGAAAGCCCCACTCGGTGTTGGGAGGATCAGTATCACTGCAGCGTCAACTTAGATCAGAGACCCATCATGCTAGGTGTGGGATACGTACACATTCATCGTCGAGCTTGCAATCTACATAGACAGGACAAAGGGTGGGGGAAAGGAAGGGTTGGGAGCTGAGGCCAGAGACATTCAATGACTTGCCCACAGCCACTCAGGGCGTCGGTGACAGAGCTGGGAATTCAACCCAGATCTCCCTCCTCCCAGTCCCTGACTTAACCACAATGCTGCCCTTCCCCTCTGTTATACAGTCACTACCCTTCTGAATCAGGGTCCCTGTAAGGAACACACGTGACTTCCGACAAGGCAGAGAGAGAAGGGAGGATCAGATCAAAAAAGGGAGTTTGAAAGATTCCATCTGTTACTGAGTGAGGACTCCCTGACCTTTTCTTCACCCCTCTGCAGCTCTGGATGTGGCAGCTCGTGAAGTTCCCAAGCAAATCCCCTGACTGCGTGTGCTCAGAACAGTCACTTCCTGGGCTGCCGTTTTCCGTGCTCGGGCTCTGCCCAAATGGGGATTTTTTTAGCTTGAGAATTCAGCCCAGTGAGGTCCAGCCGTTTCAGAGCTGGGAGGGAAGTCAGAGTGAACACAGCATTCTCCCCAAGTGGTGGGGACGCCGAGAGATGCACATTCCCCCACGTGACTGGCCCAGCTGGGTAGGAATGGAGCCAGGTGCACACACACAGGAGAACACACCCGTTAGTTTAATGCTGCAATGCTACCCCCTGTGCCTGGTACACGTGTGCAGCTGTTTGATAGCACGGAACGCCTAGTCCATGGACCTGCTCCAAGCTGGCCACAAGCCAGGCAAATGCCACAGGGAAGCCAGCGCCTGGTGATAATGATCCTCCTCCCCTTCTCCCACATTGCCCCAGCCTCTCAGACCCCTTGGTGAGAGCATCAGGGTTTCCTGCCTGCACCCCGGCAGTGCCACGATCCTGGTGCACTCAGGGTGGGGATTCCTACCTTGGGCTGGTGCGAAGAAGACCTGGGTGTTGGGGGCAGTGCGCTGCCAGCTGTACTTGGGGCTGGGCTTGCTGAAGGATGACTTGCAGCTCATGGTGACGTTGCCCCCAAGGTAGGGTTTCCCCTGGATCTGGCACGTTGGGGGGGATGGAGGAACTGGGGAGAGCAGGAGGAGAAGACGGGTTAGTGCCTTCCGAATGTGGACATCATTACAGGGCCTATTTCCAGCTGTAACTTGCAAAATGAAACAGCGCCATCTATTGGCCGCAGGCAGCACGAACAAATCCGTACTGACAGGTTTCAGAGCAGCAGCCGTGTTAGTCTGTATTCGCAAAAAGAACAGGAGGACTTGTGGCACCTTAGAGACTAACCAATTCATTTGCGCATAAGCTTTCGTGAGCTACAGCTCACTTCATCGGATGCATACTGTGGAAAATACAGAAGATGTTTTTATACACACAAACCATGAAAAAATGGGTGTTTATCACTACAAAAGGTTTTCTCTCCCCCCACCCCACTCTCCTGCTGGTAATAGCTTATCTAAAGTGATCACTCTCCTTGAAATGTGCATGATAATCAAGATGGGCCATTTCCAGCACAAATTCAGGTTTTCTCCCCACCCTCCTCAACAAATCCACTCTCCTGTTGGTAAGATGACAGGTTTCAGAGTAACAGCCGTGTTAGTCTGTATTCGCAAAAAGAAAAGGAGGACTTGTGGCACCTTAGAGACTAACCAATTTATCTGAGCATAAGCTTTCGTGAGCTACAGCTCACTTCATCGGATGCTCAAATAAATTGGTTAGTCTCTAAGGTGCCACAAGTCCTCCTTTTCTGTCGGTAATAGCTTATCTAAAGCGATCATTCTCCTTACAATGTGTGTGATAATCAAGGTGGGCCATTTCCAGCACAGATCCAGGGTTTAACAGGAACGTCTAATCCAGAGCAGTCACGTAAGCTTGAAGCCTGTGCCCCCAGGCCCCACTATCCTAGCCCTGGCTCTGCTGTCACCGTCTGTTATTGTGAACAACCCAGAAAAGCACTCTGGCTCCAGAGGGATCTGCAATGCCCAGGAATTCGTTCATTTCCCTAAAGCACCAATGCAAGCAAACAGCACAGCATCCGCGGTATCCCATGATCCAATGGCAGGTTTACTGCAGTGAAACCAACCTCTTATCTGGTCAGGTGAGAGGTGCCTCACTGTGCCAGGCCAAAGGGCAGCAACAGCCAGATCCTGCAAGCTGTCCACAGACAACAGCAGGGGATGGAGTGGTGCTGAGGTTCTGTTTCAATGTTTATTTCTGAACTGTCAAGACTTCCCACACATTCAATATTGCTACAGTTCAAGATTTATGCCAGGCCTAGTGCCACACGGTGCAACAAGCCACTCAGGTAACTAGAATGAGAGACATGCTTCTAAATCTCCTAGGCTGTTTGGAAAGTCTCAGTTACAACATCAGAACACAGGCATTGCCAGACCGGATCAGACCCAAGGTCTAGTTAGCCCAGTATCCTGTCTCTGACAGTGGCAGAGGGTGGTGTAAGAACCTCACAGCATGATGCTGTGTTGTGATCTGCCCCCACATTAGGTCTCATCCGGATCACTAGCAGTCAGAGACCAGCCCAAGACCTGAAGCAGGAGGTTTAATACCTTCCCAGAAAACTTCTTGGCATTAACTATGGTAACCCTGGGTATTCTAGGTGTCCACATAAATGGCCAATCCCTCTTTGATTCTTGTTCAATTCTTGGTGTCAATGCCATGCTGGGGCAGCAAGTTCCAATGGCTAACTATGCACTGAGTGAAAAAGTATTTGCTTTTATTGGTTTTGAATTTGCCACCTTTAAATTACAGTTACTGTCCCTTTGTTTGTGTAGAACAGAAGCTCTCAATGTACCTTCTCTAGACTATTCATTATTCAATACACTTTCTGTGTCCCTCCCTTATTCATCTCCCTTTTAACATAACAATCCCAAACTTTAGATTTTCTTTATAGATTCTCTGTAAGGTGTACGAATAGCTTACATTTCTCCCTCAAATTTAGTACCATTAAATTTAATTGGACTTCATGTTACCCCTTCCCCTAAGCTTGGTTTGTGTCTCTGAGATGTCTCACAATCCTTTATGGTCCTGAACAACCCAAATAACTTTGTCTCATCTGCAAATTTTGTTACCTTACTGCTCCCCCCCACCTTCGCTTTCTGGATCATCAGTAATCGATTCGGGACATATCACCCTGAGGCACTTGCTCTTTACCTTCAGCCATGAGGTTTTATGTTAGTGCATCGGGCTATGGGGTGTGATCATGACAAGAGACCCTGTCCAATTCTCCTTTTTACATTGCACTCATCACCGTGGTAACCGACTGTCTTAGGGCTCCGGACCACAACTCTCCATTTCTAGACAATTAAACTCACGTCTGTTTCAGGAGCAGTTTTTAATCTTTCATCTCTCCCCCCCCCCCCCCAGCAGCCAGCCAAGACGCCCACTGCAGGAGGTGCTGTCACTGACTGCCCAGCATGGAGCTGCACGTCCCATTTGGGGCCACCCTGGTGCCTTGCATCAGCCCCCACAGCCCCAAAAGGGCACATCTGGGGCTGGGAGGGAGAGCGCGAGGACCCAGAACTTACCCAGAACGGTGAGGTTGATGAGTCCAATATTTTTTCCGTTGATGGCATCTTCGTCCAGAATGTTGACCGTGCACATGTATTCGCCAGAATCCATTTCCTGGGTGTTGTTAATGGCAATGGAAATATTGAAGGAAGGCATGGGGTGCACAAAGCCAGTCCGGTTCTTCAGGTATGTCTCCTGCACTTTCACCGTCCCGTCCATGTACGTCAGTATCTGAAAAGGGAGAGAGGAGAATACAATGCACCTGGGAGTCCTGCAGCCGTCAGGGGGCAAAGGAGTGGTGCAAGGGAGTTGCTTTGGCTTCAAGAGGCTCATCTCCAGATTGCATCCGAACCGCTAATCACCTGGGCCAGCGGGCGTGAAGAGGCAGCTTCACGGCAGTCAATCCTCATGATCAATCCCTCTGTGGATTAGGGCTTGGGAAGCACACAAAACACAAGGGAAGCAAAAGAGAGCAACAAGCATGACCCATGGAGGTGAGGGTAAGGAATGGTGGAGGGACTAAGGGAGCTAGGACAGAGGAGACTCTGGGACGGGGCTGATGAGGGCACCAAATACTTTCCAGGGATCAGCATCGCTGAGAGAGGGCAGGACAAAGAGTAAACACGGGGAAGCCAAGACTATGCAGCGTGCAGCTGAACATCCCGACGCTCCCCAGAGTGCTGCGCTCCCAAGGTTCCAGTGAAATAGAACAGGAGAGGGAGAGAGAAGTGGGCCAGGGAGAAAACGCCCGGTGCTCAGATGGCTTCTGGAAACAGGAGCGGTGCAGAGATTTCGGAAGGCTGTTCCAGAGAGTGGCAGGAGCTGCAGGGAAGAAGACTCCCGCACCAGTCGGGGGAAGCCCAGGGCTAGGTCAGGGGAGGGAGTGAGGCAGGGAGTGAGTGAGAAGATCTAGTAGGTCACCTGGGCTTTAAATCAAGGAGGGGCTGGATCTCGCCATGACCGTGCAGTGCCACCGAGGATGGGGTCACACGGCTTTCACACGACAGAAGGTGGGCACAGCAGAAGCATTTTGCACATGCTGCCCAATGGAGAGCTGGTAGGTGGGAAGGCCAGTGAAAGGAGCTCCTGGGAGAGGAAAGCCAGCAGGAGGACACAACAGAGGTGGGGCTGAGGCGGACGCCCAGAGGCGATGGTAGACAGTGGAGTAAATTTAACAGCCATGACCAGCACAGCAAAAGCACAGACTCCCCAAAGGAGGCGCCGGCGGCCGAGCCACCATCGCTGCAGGGCCGCGAGCAAGCACGGCTGGTGAGCAGCGTGGCAGAGTGCAGGATGGAGCAGGAGCCACACCTCTAACAAAGGTCACGCGAGGCCTGAGCTCAGGTGGGGGCAGAAGGAAAATGAGAGTAGAGAGAAGCTGGGGGACAAAGCAGTTTCTGCTGGACTTCAAAGGGCTCAGATCCATGGTGGCCGGGATCCGGAGAGTCCAGAGCGACCAAAGCCACTCACGGGACCGAGCCATTTCAACCAAACCCTCCCGCTGGACGAGCGAGAGCTCTCCTCTCTCAGCGTATGGGAAGGAGTCACGATCCAGGCTCAGCAGTTCATCAGCTCCTGCAGCCTGTTCCCCACCTGACGCGGTAACAGTCTGGCACCTCACAGCGATGACGCTGGGTTGCTGTGGGGGTGGCAGGACCATCACAGGGACGGGGGAGCCTGATGGGCTCTTGAATCCAAACAAAAGCAGAATAGCTGCCTAGACACTGGCACCATAACGTCACAGCTGTTCCTCCAAGAGTCCCAAGGTGAGGATGCTGCTCTGGACCGGTGTGTGACTCACCTGTGCAGGTACCGTTGGGTCAGCACATATTTAACCAGCCAGAACACTAATATTTGACTATTGTTGCCCACAAGTCAAGCTACACTACAATGTGTGGCAAGTTCTGTTCTCGGGGCTGGTGACTTAGCCATGAAATGTGCTGTGGGGTTGGTGCCGAACCAAGATTTCATTAAAAAAAGGGCAGCCATCAAACTTCGGAAGCATCCGTATATTTCTTGGCTTAGGGGACCTTCCTAGCTTCTGAGCTGGTTTACTTTTCCAGCTCCTGGTTCATAAAGACCCAGTGCTGCTTTATCGGTGTCATAACTGCTGTTCTCATGAGTTTTTCGTGAAACACGGCGGTTCTGACACCATCCCTCCCCCTCGTTATGGGAGAAACCCACGTGAGGATAGGGGGCAAACTGGAAAAAAAAGTGGTAAAACTCTGCCAAGCTCCACCCACTTTATTCAATATCAGCCCCCACTGAGTCACTGCTGATGACCGAGTCCTCACAAATGAGCTCCCAAGATAGTGATGATCTCTGACCCTTCCTCTCCTTTCCTACATGAGGAATGAAGTAGTTAACAATGGTGACCATTAAATCTCCATCACTGGGCACTGAGTTAACCCTTCACTGGGAACAAGGGGACAATTCACATCTCTACAAGTGATCGCCCTTGGTTCTCTGCGGACTCAGGTAGACATCTCTGCATCAGTCACACTGGTGACACATCAGAGGCAAAGAGCATCCCCTGTCTCTCAGCCATGCTTTCTTTACTTAGTACACACAAGACATATGTTAAAAGAACATTTCAGTTGCAAAGTCAAGAGCCCAGGAGTTGGGAAATGCCAGAACGAAGGCAGCCCATGCACAATGGGGCAACCCTTCAAATTCTGAACATGCACCAGGAATCCACAGATTACAAAATTCAGAGACGTCAGTGGGACAAACCTGGTGACACAGATCACAGCAGCTCTCCGGCTGCCAGGGGCTGTGCCCAACGTATTGCGACTAACGTATTGCCTCTGCTCTAGGACTGGCACAGCCCGGCGACCTGGCAGTTCTGGGAGTGAGGGAGGTTGACTCTCTAGAGGGCGAACCCTTGGACAACACCAGGAACCCTCAGCACACCGTCAATGTTGCAATGGAATCAGCGGGCCGGCTCCTCCCTTGGTGCAAGCCAGCGTCGTGACAGGGACCGCGGCGGAGCGATGTCTGTTTGTGCAGGCAGAGTCACCCCCAGCAGGTAGCAAAGGGTGGGCAGGGAGGAGCAGCATGGCCTGAAGGCAGGAGACCGGAGACAGGAGGGTGGCCTGCATGCAGCACAGGAGAGGAGGACGAGACAGCCTCAGAGCCTAGAGCCCAGGGCAGCTTTTAGTCAGGCCAGGTACCCATAACAACTGGGGGGTGAGGGAAGGGAGCACTTTGAAAGGGCAGTGGCAGAGCAGGTCTGGTACAGCACAGGGAGGTCCCTTCCCTGTGCTCTCCCGGCCCCTTAGTGCACACACTAGCCTGGCCCAGCTCCAGCTGTCCCTGCGCAGAACCCTTCCTATGGGCTCCTCTCACTTCTCACAGGCCTGGTGAGGCTGTAATGGGTCCCTCCCATCCCTCTCCGGCCCCAGGAATCTCTGCCCCCCCGGCTCCTCCTGGCGACGTAATACACTGCTGTCTGTGTCAGCGATCTGGTGAGCTTGTCGTACACCGCTCCCCGTGGAGATTCCCCCAACAGACACTCCTTTGTGCTTGAAGTCAGAACAAGCAGATGGAAATAAAAGCTAGTCAAGTAACAAACCGGCTCTGTCGAAACCGGGCGGTGCAACACCAGGAGTCGGCAGCACTTGAAAAATGCCACCCTCCCCACCCTCACACACACACTTTCCTCGGCGTTTGGAAAGCCCTGCTCACACCAATGTGTTGCAATGCCTGGGACAAGGCCTTTTGTCTCACTGAACAGGCTTCTCCTCCACAATGATTTATCCCCAGGGTGTACGGGAGGCCCAGGTATTGCAGATGCACCCAGGACATCTTTTGGGATGACGGGAGCCCTGTTTTCTAGGACTAGGCAAGGAAAAGTACAAGGGTTTCATCAGAAACATGCGTGAACCTGGGTCGCGTTTACCTGGGAGGAGCCAGAGCGGTTCCGTGAACAAATCTCACCGTTCTTGCATGGACATTTTGGAAAAGTTTCTGAATGGGAGGAGCTGGTGCCTCCAGAATCCACATTGTCCAGTCCTGGAATTGAACCCAGGACAGGAAGCTGGAAGACCCCAAGTTTTATCCCCACCTCTGCTGCCGACAGCCTTCTACAGAACTTGGCAAATATTTCCTTGCCTCCCACAGCCCCAGTGACATACGTGCCCACCTCCGTTTTACAGACAGGGTCCCAGACTCAGGGGCGCGGGAATAATTTGTATAGTGGGGGGTGCTGAGAGCCACTGAACCAAACTGTAAACCACGTCTATGATGGAAACCACTTCAAGCCAGGGGGTACGGCAGCTCCCCCTGCATTCCTACTTCCAGCGCCTATTCCCAGACCGAATGACCTGTCTAAGATGAGCAGAGCTGGTGCAGCCGTGTCAGTCCCGGGATCTTAGAGAGACGAGGTGGGGGAGGTAACATCTTCTATTGGAACAACTTCTGTTGGGGAGAGAGACGGTTTTAAGCTCCACAGAGCTCCGCTCCAGATCAGGGAGCATCACAGCTAAATACCAGGTGGAGCAGATTTATTTAGCTGTGACGCTGAGAGTACCTGTCCCAGCCCCGAAGAAGAGCTCTGTGGGGCTCTAAAGCTCATCTCTCTCCCCCACAGAAGTCGGTCCAATAAAAGATATTCCCTCCCCCACCTCGTCAGTCTAAGTTGACACAGAGACAAGAGGAGAAGCCAGGCCCGTGTCTAAGCTCCTAGGCCACTTTCCAGGCAAACACCTAGCTTCCCCGAGGGCTTGTGGGCACCAGAGCACGCAGCTAGGCAGGGCTCCATGACTTATGCCACAGCAGCTATCAAGAGAGCCCACACTGGACGCACTCATTCACTGTCACACTTGCCCCCCAACGAGGTGCGGGTCACCATCACTGACTGCAGCTCCCTTAGCTCCCAGCTCCCCCTCCCAACCGAACAGGAGCACGGAGGAGCCAAGGGAGGGGAGCTGGTAGCTGAAGTGCAGCCAGCAGCTGACACTCTCACCCTGTGGTCACCAGTGAAGCATCTCCTCTCGCTGTGAGGCTCCTCGCCAAGCCCCCAGAGCGCCCCAGTCAGGCACAGCCGGAGCCCTGGGCTCCCCTGGGTGGTGTCCGCCTCTCTGGCCCCCATGCCTTTTACCTGCAAACGATTGGCTCCAGGTCTCTCAAGGACCCACGAGACATAGGGACTCTTCTGAGAGGTGCTCGTGTACCAGATCGGCAACACCACCCTCTGCCCTTGGATCGTAGAGATAGAGGCTTGTCCCACTCTGACTTCCAGTAGCGCCGAAGAGAGACCTGCAGAGAGAGAGAGAGAAATTCAGTACTAAGGGTGCATCCTGACTCCCAGGAACCAGCCCTACTACATCCAAAACTGAGCATCAAACCCCAGAGCCCCCGGGCACCCACTGAGATCCCAGGATCTTGCGGTGCACCAGGCGCAAGAGAAGGGGACGCTCCACAGCTGACATCACTGACCACTCAGAACGACCTGAAAGAGATACCGTAAATGATACCTCGCACTGCAATAGCACGTGTAATCGGAGGCTCTCAAAGCACAGTACTGACCCTAGGTAGCCATCACCGGGGTGCCATGCTTAAGGGCTGCACTGAGTTTGTGCAGTATGACTCCTTTGTCAGGCTTGAAAACAAGCGTTAAGGGGACGTGGGTGGCATGTAGGGTCATGTGTCCCCCCAGATTTGCTGCTTGGCTTGGACTGAGCATGCTCAGTAACACTGCTGAAGCGGGCTGCCCTCACTCCGCTCCCCCACTATTGGGGGACACAGGTCGTCTCCTACCCTCCCGGCACTTCCTCTCAGGGTAACGATTTCGTTGTCTGGAAAGTTACGAGCAAATCCGTGCAGGAGTCTACGACCTGCACCTGAAATTTCAGAGCTGGAGCCCAACATTATTTTGCGCCTCACTAATTTACACACAGATTTTGTTTTTAAACACATGAAACTGTGGACGGGTGACTCCTCTGAACAATAAACCCCAAACCTAGTTTATGCATGGACTAGTTTTATAAAAACCATCAGAAACAAGGAAGCCGTGAGCATCGGTCATGATCTATCTTGTGTGTACCCATCACTGTAGTAGGTGAGTGCCTCACAGTCATCAGTGTATTTACCCTCCAATCGCCCCTGTGAGGCAGGACAGTGCTGCTGTCCTCATTGTACAGATGGCGAACAGAAGAATGAAGAGGCGAAGGGTCTGTTTACATCAATCACATTTATAACATGGAAACACAATGAAGTCCAAACCAGGGATATAGCAATAAAACAAGCAATTTAAAACAAGCAATTTCACAAAGCTGAAAACAATTATGCGCCAGATCCACTGAGGGAAGAATTTAATCAGAGACACATGAATGATAATTGGGAATTGTTTAAGAACACTTTACTAGAAGCCCCAAAAGCCACAATCAAGGAAGGAGGCCATATTAGTTTAAAAACTGAGCTGGTTGAGAGGGAGAAGTGAAGGCAGCTATAAAAATAAAATATATAATAAACAGAAGCAAGGGGAAGTCAACGGTAATTAATATAAATCAGAAGCTAGGAATTGTAGAAAATTGATAAGGGAAGCAAAGGACACAAGGAGAAATCTATGGTCAGCAGAGTTATGGATGATATGAAGGAGTTTAAGTATATTAGGAACAAAAATAATCCTGCCAACAATATTTGTCCATTGCTAGATGGAAATGGCAAAATTATAAATAATAATTCAGAGAAGACAGAATTGTTCAATAAATATTTTTGTTCTGTATTTTGGGAAAACACAGATGCTGTAGTCATATCATATAACAAAACTCTTTTCATTCCACTGGAATCTCTGGAGGAAGTTAAACAGAAGCTAGTAAAGTTAGACATTTTAGAATCAGCAGGTCCAGATAACTTGCATGCAAGAGTTTTCAAAGAGCTGGCTGAGGAGTTGATTGGACTATGAATGTTGATTTTCAACAAATCTTAGAGCACTGCGGAAGTTCCATAAAACTGAAAGAAGGCTAATGTTGTGCCGTTATTTAAAAAGGGGAAACAGGATGACACAGGTAATTATAACTGATCAATTTGACATCAATCCCAGGCAAGATAATGGAACATCTGACATGGGACTTAATTAATAAATAATTAAAGGAGAGTAATATAATTAAAGCAAATCAATATGAATTTATGAAAAATAGATCCAGTCAGATTAACTTGATATCTTTTTTTTTGGCTGAGATTACAAATTTGGCTGATAAAGGTAACAATGCTGAGGTAATATACTTCGATTTCTGCAAGGTGTTTGACTTGGTACTGCATGACATTTTGATTAAAAAGCTAGAATGATATCAAATTAACACGGTACACATTAAAGGTGTTAAAAACTACCTAACTGGCAGACCTCAAAATGGAACTGTAAACAGGGAATCATCATAGAATCATAGAATATCAGGGTTGGAAGGGACCTCAGGAGGTCATCTAGTCCAACCCCCTGCTCAAAAGCAGGACCCATCCCCAATTAAATCATCCCAGCCAGGGCTTTGTCAAGCCTGACCGTAAAAACTTCTAAGGAAGGAGATTCTACCACCTCCCTAGGTAACGCATTCCAGTGTTTCACCACCCTCCTAGTGAAAAAGTTTTTCCTAATATCCAACCTAAACCTCCCCCACTGCAACTTGAGACCATTACTCCTTGTCCTGTCCTCTTCATCACTGAGAATAGTCTAGAACCATCCTCTCTGGAACCACCTCTCAGGTAGTTGAAAGCAGCTATCAAATCCCCCCTCATTCTTCTCTTCCGAAGACTAAACAATCCCAGTTCCCTCAGCCTCTCCTCATAAGTCATGTGTTCCAGACCCCTAATCATTTTTGTTGCCCTTCGCTGGACTCTCTCCAATTTATCCACATCCTTCTTGTAGTGTGGGGCCCAAAACTGGACACAGTACTCCAGATGAGGCCTCACCAATGTCGAATAGAGGGGGATGATCACGTCCCTCGATCTGCTCGCTATGCCCCTACTTATACATCCCAAAATGCCATTGGCCTTCTCGGCAACAAGGGCACACTGCTGACTCATATCCAGCTTCTCGTCCACTGTCACCCCTAGGTCCTTTTCCGCAGAACTGCTGCCTAGCCATTCGGTCCCTAGTCTGTAGCTGTGCATTGGGTTCTTCCGTCCTAAGTGCATAAAGCAGGTGTATTTCTAGTGGGGTCCAACAGGGGTTGCAAGGTGTTGACCCAAAGCTATTTAAAATTTATCAGTGACCTGGAAGAAAACAAAATATTAATTGATAGATAAAGTTGGCAGATGACATAAAAATTGGCAGAGTGGTACATACTGAAGAGGACAGGTCACTGATACAGAGCAATCTGGATCTCTTAGTGAGCCAGGCACAAGCAAACAATACGTGTTTGAATACAGCTAAATGTAAACGTATATATCTAGGAACAAAAGCTCTAGGCCATACTTGCAGGATGGGGGACTCTGTCTCGGGAAGCAGTGAGTCTGAGAAAGATTTTGGGGTGTTGGTGGGTAATCAGCTGAACGCGAGCTCCCAGTGCGAAGCTGCGGCCAAAGACCTAATGCGCCCCTGGGATGCATAAACAGGGGAGTCTCGAGTAGGAGAGGAGAGATTATTTTACCTCTGAATTTGGCAGTGGTACAACCATGGCTGGAATCCTGTGTCCAGTTCTGGTGTCCACAGTTCAAGAAGGATGGGGTAGGATCTGAGTTACTACAGAAAATTCTTCCCTGGGTGTCTGGCTGGTGAATCTTGCCCATAGGCTCAGGGTTCAGCGGATCGCCATATTTGGGGTCGGGAAGGAATTTTCCTCCAGGGCAGATTGGCAGAGGCCCTGGGGGTTTTTCGCCTTCCTCTGTAGCATGGAGCACAGGTCACTTGCTGGAGGATTCTCTGCTCCTTGAAGTCTTTAAACCACGATTTGAGGACTTCAATAGCTCAGACATAGGTGAGAGGTTTATCACAGGAGTGGGTGGGTGAGATTCTGTGGCCTGCATTGGGCAGGAGGTCAGACGAGATGATCAAAATTGTCCCTTCTGACCTTAATATCTATGAATCTAGGCTGGTGATAAATTGGAGAGGGTTCAGAGAAGAGCCATGAGAATGATACAGGATTAGAAAATCTGCCTTAGAGTGATACGCTCAAAGAGCTCAATCTGTTTATCTTAACAAAGAGAAGGTGAAGGGGTGACGATCACAGTCTGTAAGTACCTGCATGGGGAACAAATATTTAATAATAGGCTCTTCAGTCTCGCAGGGAAAGGTCTAACACAATCCGGTGGCTGGGACTTGAAGCTAGACAAATTCAGACAGGAAATAAGGTGTGCATTTTGACAGTGAGAGTCATTAACCATTGCAACAACTCACCAAGGGTTGTGGTGGATTCTCCATCACTGACAATGTTTAAATCCAGACTGGATGTTTTTCTAAAAGCTCTGCTCCGGGAATTATTATGGGGCAGGTCTCTGGCAGGTGCTATGCATGGGGTCAGACAAGATGGTCACAGTGGTCCCTTCTGGCCTTGGCATCTATCCCCACTGCAGCAGGGAGCTTGTCTCCCGTGCGGGTAGAGGTACGCGCACTTCCTCTGCTCGAGTGCGCTAAAAAATAGCAGTGTGGTCGTGACAGCCTGGGCTAGCTGCCCGAGTAGAATCCCGCCCAACCCCAAGGGCACGTACTCGGGAGGCCAGCCTCAGCCCGAGCTCGAGCAGAGCTGGCATGTGTACATCCACCCGAGCTGGCAATTCCAGCTCCCAGCTGCAGTGTAGGGAGTTTATGGCACAACAGGGAACTGAACCCATGTCTCCAGAGTCCCAGGCAAGTGCACTAACCACTGGACCATCCTGCCTCTAATCTGATGTTTTTATTCTGATCACAGCATCTCATGAATAAAAATGCCTTAAAAGATGCTTTCTATGAACTCTGGGTACATAACGTTCTTGATGCCAAAGCTTCTGTCAAAGGGTTTCTACGTTAGCTGTTCCAAACAGGCACTCCTGCACTGTCTCCAACTTCACAGCAACAAGATTCCACAGCAAGATGGGAGAGTCGCAGGACACTGAGCTCAGCAGCAATTGGGTCCCTGCTCCCAAGGTATTGAAGAGCAATGCAGGCAGGGAGCTTCCCCTGGAGTGCTGCTTCATAATCCAGCAGGGCTCCCCCTCCCACACCTCCTAGGAAAGCTGCAGAGATGTATTTGAGGCTGCCTGGTGCAGTTGCAGGCAGAAGTTCAAGGGCTGAGCTGGCACAGGGGATGGGTGGGGCAGGGAAGTTGGCAGGGAGCAAGGTGGTGTTT